CCTCACTCACGTTGTTACGACTGAATCGACTTTTCAATTCTCTATCCAACGATGCCAAAACGAATTCTGTGGCTCGAATGGTTCTTGAGAAACATTTTTCTAATTTCATAGATAACAGAAGACTGTATTTTTTCTACATAACCCCCCCCCTGACTTTAAAGCTGGATCCGCCCCTGTGCACGTCATCATCCAATTCACTATTTTGCATTTTTGAGTCTCGATTACCAGTAGGAAAACCAAGGCAAAAACCTGTTTATCAGAAGTAGTCCAAAAGTACGTCCCGACTGTTTGCGGGTTTAACCGTTAGTGACCCGAAATATTACATAAAAATCTACAAAACAAACATGCCCATTCATAATCAGCCCAGAAAAAAGCTGCAATAGAAGCGAAACAAACCTCTTTCTTAGCAAGGATGTTAAGTGCTCAGTTGTATACTATATACAGGGTGATTGAAAATTGGCGTCATTCCTCAGGGGGTGTTTATCATTATCAAAAATGATACTATTTTTCTGTTCGAAATTGGTGTACACTTCCTGAAAGAAGCTTCAAACTAAGTCACAATATGACCAAAAACTTCGTTGCAGCTTTGAATTTTCATCAAAAAACTGAAGAAGAGTACTTTATTAACATACATTTTTTTCATAAGTTGAAGCAAAAATGGTAATTTTTCTTTTGGAACAAACTAACTGGAGTATTCCAATAGACTACCAATCAAACATGGGACCATTTCAAAACAATACTCTTTTCAACTGTTAATATATTCTGGAAATTATCGAAAAAATAGCTTCAATTTCTTTTCGTTCCCTCCAACTGAGTCCCTATAATCCCTTAGAAGGAATGACATCAATTTTAAATCACCCTTTCAAATGTCCCTGTGCGGTTCAAATCCGAAATTGACCCTAAGGACCCTTATGATGATCATGCGTTCTACTTCCAACATTAAACCAAACAGACAGCTATATTGAAATTTACCCTCTACACACCGCATACCTGTATTAAATTAGAACGGTTAGTTGAAACCATATCACTATGTTAGTCATTGATTCGAGTCAGAGCCTGGAAACAGCAAATCACACAATTGACAATCAATAACTGCCCAGTTTCCAGCCACTTTCAAGGGCGCTAGAGCGCCCGGAAAACTGCAGTAGTTGACAAAACTCTTTTGTTTTGGACCGCTCTAAACCACCGCTAGTTAAATAGACAGAAAACTCACCTTGCTGGCTGTTGGTCAAGTCGATGGCAACGACGGCAGGACTGCTGCTGGCACTGTGATTGGCTACAGCAGCGGCCGCGCCCGTATTAGTTCCCTCGTCCGAGGTGCGTCTGAAGAAACCATGCTGAAGAGCATAGTAAGGGGTAATGCGCGTCCGGGGGTCGTAGTCGAGCATGCGGGAAATTAGATCCTGCAAATCCACCAGTAAGGAACCTGCTGTGAACCGGCGAAACTTTTTATCAGTACCTTGAACTTTAGGTAGTCGGATTGCGAATGGCCGGCTTCGCCGGATCGTCTGCTTCCAGGGCCCCCACTGTCCACGCCAATGATATCTTGCAACCGGCGTGTTCCAGGGGCTTTGTACTTTTTACCGTCCTTTGTCTTCTTGAGAATATACCTAAAAACCATACAAAACATTAGTCACAATCAATTGGATTATACAAAACTTCGCAGCAGCCCTAGTACTCGTAATGTATAGGGATGATTCGATACAAGTAAATATAAGTAGGTATTCAATACTTTTGTTTCGATACCGAGTACTTTGGTAAATGAATCGTTCTTTCGAAACAAATACTTGGTATCGAAATAAATTACTCGTATCGAATCGAATTATCAAAAGTGTAAACACTGCCCAAAGTCACAGAACATATATTTATGAAGATATAGGATATTTTGTGAAGTCTATTGAAGAACTTGAGTTGGATATCTCACAGCCATCAACATCTAGCGGTTCTAAATTAGAAAACATCTTGGAATTAAAAAGTTTTTTCGATGCTAGTACGGATTGTAACATACCTCCACAAAGGACTTTAGAAGACGCATTTTTACAAGTTTCGGCCAATAAGGAAAATAAATTATTTCTAGTACTTTTTCTTTATTGAATATAATAGATATATCTATTTTGGAGGGAGGTTCAAAATACAACCAAATAGTGCAGGCTTTAGCGTTTTTTGTTTGCAATTATTGCCTTCTTACATTGTGGAAGGAGAAGGATTTTTACACCTTCTGAACCTGCTTCAACCTAATTTTAAGGTACCTACTCAGTGCAGCTTATTTAAAAAAGATGACCCACAAAAAATATGAAGCTTCTGTAGCTATAGCTAAAGCTAAATTTTGTCAAAGATTAACAATATTTGTCTCAGATTGAACATTTGGACTGAAACAATGAACGAGCGAGGTTTCTTAGGTGTGAATTGTCATTGTCATTTGTCATTGTCATCATGTCATTTTCTTCAAAATAGTACAATGCATATGCTCTATCTAGCTATTCGTACGCTCAATGAAATATTTGCCCTGTTTGGCTCACACAATAAATCACATCGTTGAAGAGGCTTTAAAATGACCAAATGTGAAAACAGCTAAATCTAAGGTTCGTGAAATTGTGCGTTGAATACAAAAGATACGTATTAATTGTTCTGAATAGTCAGTTTTAAAACTTATTGCCGATATCAAAACAATATGGAACTGAATATCTTTGAAAAGTGACCCATTGGGAGACATGCAAACGGTATTTCCTAACTTTCATAAGTGAATATCTATTTCCTAAAGCTGGTGCTGCTATGACGCACAATAGAAAAAGCTTGTCCCCTAAATATTTGCAGCAACTGATTTTTTGGGAAACCTTCAGAAATAATATTTTTGTTTACCTAATGGCAATAGATGCATTAAAATATATTCCATAAATTTTATTACAATCTCTTATTTAAACGACCATTTTACAGTTAAAATTCACGGTAACCGTTAATTTCGGTCTTGAAAAACTCATCGAAAATGTATACTTAAAATGTGTTTATGACGATTATACGGAGATTCACTCAATATCGAGCCAGTTAATAAAATTGTGAGCAGGTAATAGTTTCCATACTTTCAGAATACTGATATATATGAGCAGTATTGCAAGGCGATTTGGTTACTACTCATTTGAGTAAGTATCGATACTTTCTCAGTATCGTATCGTCCCTAGTAATGTATGCCAGGAGTCCGCGCGCGTTCAACGCATTCTTTTACCTTTGCTTGGAAGTCTATAACATAAAACAATACTTGCATACTTTTCAGGTTGTTTAAAGGCTTCCAAAGGCTGAGTCGAACTAAACAAAATAAGTGACACCTATTTCCATTAGATGTCAAATTTGACTAGTTAAAGTGTAGTTATAATTTAGCCGCCAGTGGGCGTTTGGATTTTTGAACTCGCGAAGCAATCGGTTATCATCGGCGCTAGCCGCCAGGTTTGAGCGTTACAAGGGCCGCTCAAAAAGTATCACCTACCTCCGATCGCCGGGCACTTTTTCGAAAAACTTCCTCGTTTTGCCCGCCTGATCCAGTAGATGCTTCGGCGGCATTCCCAGCACCTCAATGATTTTGTTCATCTGGTCGACTTCGTTCGAGCCGCTAAACAGTGGTTCGCCCGTATGCATTTCTACCAGAATGCAACCGAGCGACCACATGTCGATCGCTAAGTCGTAGGAGATGCCCAGCAACACTTCGGGCGATCGGTAGAATCGCGATTGGATATACTGGTAAATCTGCGTGAAAAACACGTATTTTAAAGACAAAAAATGGAGTTTGCATGATGAAAACTCACCCGTTGTCCCAACTGACAAGAGCTGCCAAAATCGACTATTTTGATCGCCGATCGCTTCGCATTGCACAACAAAATATTCTCGGGCTTCAAATCACAATGAATTATACTAAGTTCGGGGGTGGACAGGAAAAGCAGCGCCGTGCAGAGCTGCTGCGCAAACTTCCTGGTCAGGTTCAGTGAGACGCCTCTGAAGTTGGTGTTGCGCAGCAAATCGTATAGGTTGTACGAGAGCAGTTCGAATACGAGACAGAGGTGGTTCCGCCACATAAAATGTCGCTTCAATTTCACTGCAATCATCAGCAAGTCATTAATTATCGAACTCAGCAGACGGAAGGTGAGTACGTACCAATGTAATATTTGTTCTCTGCGTCCGCTCTGTTCATCATCTCGAGCAACTTGACCTCGATCTGGGCCTGGTTGAGGAATGGCTTCTTGTTCTTGATGATCTTAATGGCTACATTGCACTGCTCCACATGGTCGTAGGCTTTCACCACTTGCCCAAAAGACCCTTTGCCGATGGGGGAATCGATCTCATATCTGCAACAATTCAATCAATCAATCATCACCAGCCAAAGTAAACCACTGGCGCCTACCTGTCCAGGAACTTTTCACCGTGCTTTATGATATAGTCATGGTTATCATCATCGAATCCATCATTGTAGATTTTGCGCTCTTTCTTGTGCGACGTGTCGTCGCCCTGTATCTGGGCAGCTCGTCGCTTCTTCTTCGCATAATAGACCTGGAAAAGGGACAAGAACAACGCACATTAACGCTAAGAATACACAACAACAATCGCACAACTTTAAGCCACGCATTGTGCATTTGGCGGCATTGTTTTGTTCTGAACGCTTAAATAAATTAAACGAATATCGCCCTCTCATCGAATAAACATAATGGGGCGGTGGCATGGGTTTATTTTTGGAAAGCGCGCTGTTAAAGGGGCATTTGCACGCCACATAGCGGGGAATTTCCAAAGGCTCATTTACATCGTTTTGGTTTCATGGGTTTTTTTTGCAACTTCAAAACAGTCAGGCTTTTCCAGTCATTACAGAAAACTGGTGAGTTTCCGAGGCTTTTAGGCCGCCGTGGAAAAGGATTTTTTCCTGCATGAGTGGCTTGCATCTTCAAAGGTTGATTGTCTTTTGCACAATTTGTAAACATTTTCGCTCAGAAAATCTATTGTTGCTTCACAAAATAACGCTGTTCCGAACAAAATGAATCTCGTAATTCTGCATTGATATTTAGGTCTTCTGCCAATCAACAAAAAAAAAATGCTGGATTTAGTAAAAAAAAAAACTGCGATACTTTTCGAAGATTTCAAAATAAATTTCAACAAATTTACCAAAACGCAGATTTATTTGCTGTTTCAAATGCACAATTTGCTAATTTTTACACCAAAAATCTAGCGTCTGTTTTACAAAATAATGCTCCGAACGAAATGAGACTGGGAATTGTTCATTTCTTTTTTACGTTTTCTGTCATAAACTGTGAAATGCCTAGTTTTGAAAGTAAATATCAGCGAACTTAACAAAACACTCATTTTCGAATTCAAATTTTGCGATTCTTAAGTTTTTGCTATCCAGTCAGTGTCGTGCCTAAAAGGCTCGGCCCAACAAACGCACTAAACAATGTTTAATGTCAAAGTTGTACCGAGTCTTTCGGACACGGCACTTGGTTGAACGCTAAAAACACTCCAACTTTAGCGATTCTTCATTTTTTGCCATCCCGTCAGTGTAGTACCCGAAGGGCGAGTTCGGCACAAAAAAATTAAAGAATGTTTAAAGTCAAAGTTGTGCTGAGCCCTTCGGGCACGACACTGGTTTTGACGCAAAAACACTCCGAATTTTGCGATTCTTGAGTTTTCGTCATCCAGTCAGCGTAGTGCCCGAAGAACTCGGCACAATAAACGCATTCAGGAATGTTAAAAGTCAAAGTTGTGTCGAACCCTTCAGGCACTACACTGGTTTTGACGCAAAACACTCTGAATTTAGCGATTCTTGAGTTTTCGTCACCCCGTCATCATCGTGCCCGAAAGGCTCGTCTTAACAAACGCGTTAAATAATGTTTAAAGTCAAAGCTGTGCCGAGCCCTTCGGGCACAACACAGGTTTTGAACCAAAAACACTTGCTCCTAATTGAATAAACATACTTTTACGACTATGAAAAAAAAAAAGAAGCGCATGGAAACTGCAACAAATAAATTAATTAATTCCATTAATAAGTTAGACACGACAGATGACGAAGAGAAGACATAAGACGTGTGTTAAAAAACCGTCATTTTCGAAACGTTTTTTGTTTTTACATAATTTTGCGCTCTTTCTTATGCCACGTATCGTCGCCCTGTATCTGGGCAGCTCGTCGCTTCTTCTTCGCATAATAGACCTGGAAAAGGGACAAGAACAACGCACATTAACGCTAAGAATACACAACAACAATCGCACAACTTTAAGCAATGCATTGTGCATTTGGCGGCAATGTTCTTTGCCATCCCGTCAGTGTAGTACCCGAAGGGCGAGTTCGGCACAATAAAATTAAAGAATGTTTAAAGTCAAAGTTGTGCCGAGCCCTTCAGGCACTACACTGGTTTTGACGCAAAACACTCTGAATTTAGCGGATTGTTGAGTTTTCGTCATACCGTCAGCGTCGTGCCCAAGAACTCGGCACAATAAACGCATTCAGGAAGGTTAAAAGTCAAAGTTGTCCCGAACCCTTCAGGCACTACACTGGTTTTGACGTAAAACACTCTGAATTTAGCGGATTCTTGAGTTTTCGTCATACCGTCAGCGGCGTGCCCGAAGGACTCGGCATAATAAACCCATTAAATAATGTTTAAAGTCAAAGCTGTGCCAAGGTTTTGAACCAAAAAAAAATGGTTGCTCCTAATTGAATAAACATACTTTTACGAGTATGAAAAAAGTGAAGCGCATAGAAAGTGCAACAAATTAATTAATTAATTCCATTAATAAGTGAGAAGACAGATGACGAAGAGAAGACATAAGACGTGTGTGTATGAAAACCGTCATTTTCGAAACGTTTTTTGTTTTTACGTAAAGACTTTCTAATCGCTGTTGGAAGCGAGATACGCGAGAATTCCAGCAGGAAACATGACTTCTGAATAAAATACGCCCGATTTCGTATGCCATACGCGATGCGAGTCTGGTTAAAAAAGTTGGGGCGCCCCAAAAAAGTCTGACGGTCCCAGCAACAACTCAACACTTGGAGGAGGAGGAGGAGGAGGAATCGTGCGGCGGCAACATATTGCAGCGGTCGCAACTTTTCCCAATAAGTAGAAAATCGGTTCGCTCACCTCATTTATGTGCTTGTACGTTTTGATCAGATCGACGCTGAGCTTCCGCAAGGGGGCCGCTGATGGGTCCCGGAATGTGTTCGGTATTCGAGCCTGCATGGCTTGGATGTCAGTCGATGAGGGGGTGCCGGTGGGCAAAGGGGCCGCCATACTGCTGCCCAATGAGTCGTCAGACACCAGCCGCCCATAGAGGGGCACATGGCGGCGCCGCTGCTGACTCGTCGACTCACCACCACTCGCTGTTGAAATCGGAACTGGAACAAAAAAACAGAAAAACTGATTACAAACTTTTTCATGACTAATATCAATCCAACCCAACCCAACCGTCTGGGGGCAAAATAAATTTCCTCGCCTCGAATCAAATCAACTTCGAGACTAACCGATATTTCATTTTCAACTCATTTGGCCCGCTAACCCCTGTTAATCCCAATATCTCGACTTGAGCCCTGGTAACAAGAGGGCCGGGCAACAGTTGGCCGCCACTGGGGAGGCTCCTGCTCCATCCGGTGGTCCATTCCAACTTGGGCTGGCAAAACCTCAATCTAGCGCCTGAATGGTACAGGGTGGAAAGTGGTAGGTACATACAAAAGTTGCTTTTTATTACTCAAATTTTCAAAATTTGAAACTTAAAAAAAAGGAAGCTTAGAACCAATGAATGAAGCTTCATCCACTGTTTATATTGAGAAAAAACAAGCCTCGCACACTGGGGTATTAACAATATAAAACTAAAATAATAAAGAAAATAGAGAGTTATTGGTCGGCCAATACGTTCATGCAGTATTATAGTTTGTGCTATTTTGACACAAACACCTGCACAAATCAGTCTAAAAAATAAGTACTGCACGTTTTATTTTCTACATTAAACTGGCAGTTGACATTTCTGACGTCCGCTTGCAGAGTATTTCATTATAAACATAACCCAGTTTCACCCATTTCCAATTGACTACTTGTTTACATCTGTAAACATTACGTTTAACTACGTATTAAATCTTGTATTACTTATACAAAATACTATACTTGGTCCAAAATGCCACATTTTT